CCAATCAACTTTGTTCTGTACAACATCCTATCATCTCCAAAACTATTTATTATTTGTTTCTTGAACCAAAATATATTTTATTTTAAATAGTACGCAAGAACTGAACAGTTTTTTTAAATTGTGGTTGCAATTTACAGATTTCTTTATTATAACGTGTTTTTTTGTGTTTTGACTAGATCCTTTAAATTTGATATACAACTCTTTTATAAAATGCGTTTTAGTGATAAGACTATTTTTCTATGTCTAGAACTATCTGTAGCATTCCCTTCTAAAAGTTTTTAGTCGAAAAGTATGCTATTGTGTTCAACAAAATGAATATATTTCATATCCATTTAGGGTAGTAAGAAAACTGCAAAAAAATCAAATTCACCAATCACAGTTCATATTTTAGTCACCCAAGTACTATTATTTTTAAAATTTTAAATAAGTGACAATTCTGTCAAATTATTTGTCAGTATATTTTTCAGTTGAGATTAAATATACATTAAAATTAGTTATTATTGCGTAGAATCGGTAAATAATAGCATTTCTATATTCATTTTGTCTATAAATAATTCGTCAATTATAATAAATTTAATTTAATTACAAGTACGTTTTTAAATTTTGAATTGTTTTGTTTTCTCCGGACCACCCACAACTTATTTTTTTTTTACTGACCTGAATATTTTATGACACTATTCTAAAAAACTTTTCATCCTGCATCCAGCGGTCTATCACAAAATGGCGGTTTTTGGTTAATATTTATTTAATTATTCGACTATTAAAAAAATATGTTTTGACAAGGTAAATATTTAAAAAAATTCACCCTACAATTTCATGTTCTATCGGTAGCTGGAATAAAGTAACTGGCATCCTATTTAAAATAATAAACTTTACATCTACTTCCGTTATTAGCAAAATGACCTGTTTACTATTTTTTGCATTTTTAACAAAATTCATTCATTAGTTTATCAGATTCAGTGTTTTCTGTCGCTGGACAGCCTCTATATAAATATACAGATCTTTATTTACATAATCATAGATAGTTATACCTTCCTAGACATACATCTTATCTGTACACCCTTCTTCAGATAGATCTAATAATCAATAATATAGCTGTTATATACAATAAATACATTTTCATCAGGGAATATTGGTGTCTTTTATTATACCTAGTACTTAGTTTAACGCTACACAAAACTAATAATACAAAAATATTTCAAAATGCTATTAAATAATAAAACACAAAATATCATTCAAATAAGACGAATAGGCACCTTCTACAGACTAAGAGATTGTAAATAGGGAAATGGTCCTGTAAAGGTAAGCGTCATATAGCCTTAAAAATCCTGATTTGAGCGATGTTGCCAAGTCAAAATTAAATCTAGATGATCGTATAGAGAACATCATGTTCTCCATGTTCTGAACACGTCTTTTATATATTCATGTATCAGTTGATTATTTAAGTGTTAAGTTATTTTGTTGCGATATTTCATAGATCCAAACTATTTAAATCAATAATTTAAAAATAAATTAGTTTGAAATTATTTTATGACAGATTTGATTAATAGAAATAAAAATTCTACGGGGACAAGTGTTGCATACTGCGCATTCTTATAGACACACTATTCTGCGATGTTATGTGCAGAGATGCCTTTTTGTAGACAGTAGGTTTCAATTCTGCTTAAATGTTTCTTCTTTATTATTTCTATGACTCATAAAACATATAAATTATCTTAGGCCAATAGACAAGACTGAGGCCAATCCACCCCCAAACACAGTTAAGAAAATTATAAAATTATGTATTGAAAAAAGTAATGCCTCGTCATAAAAACTGTTACGGCAAAAAAATATGTCAAATAGTTATATCATGTGAAATACCATCTGTTATTCTATGCTACTAGTATTGTTATGATAACTTATTGTATTGAGCACCATCCTGTATAGTCAAAAATAATTTTAAAATATTGAGTTGAATGCGGTCTACCGTTCTGTATATGTTTTTTTTATATATATATTCTTAATACTGTTGGATATATTTGAATTTTTTAACTAACGGGTCACTCTGTATACTAAATAACTAACCTTAAAAATATTTTCAGATATAACTGATGAATCCTTCAATATCATTACAATACATAGGTACTCAAAAAGAAGTCGAATTGACAAGTGTATCTCCTAATATTAATTCTATGAAAAATAGGTAGAAAGGAAAAGTCCCTGACTACCAATAATTTTTTGCATCTGCTTAAGGCTTTACCCTTTCATTACCTGAAGACGAACATCTGTATTTTGCCACAGAATTACAAAATATAGGATTTCTTTCAGTTTTGCGAATAATTCCTCCAATTTCAGTTTGAAATGAATCTAAACCTACATCTGTCCGTTGTTTACCCTTTAGATGAACCCTTCTGCTGATAAGAAGCGTGGGTGGTTGACAAAACAACTTGTCCCATTGTTATAGATTCAATTGACACAGCCTGTACTATTTTGAGTGTCACAAAAAAACGTTGCAAGTGTTTGAATTTGGATAACCAGATTATTTACAAATAGGTTTAACAAATATTTGTAGATTTTATGTAAAATAGAACTTTATTTAATAAAAAGTATGTGTTACCTAATTTAAATATTTTTAAATTTTGCTTCCCCAGTAACACAAATAGTTGTATAAGCGTTGGGCCGTTTTTGTGACATACTGTTTTAATTGTCTGACAATTTAGATTTTAGTATTAGCTAAGAAATTATATATTTTTGATCGTATATGGCATCTAGATTCGACTTCTTTTCTCGATATTCAAATTGAATTGGTAAGTATACAGGGTTTCTCGAAATTAGATGGTCATATTTTAACAGCGTAATCTAAATCCTAAAATAGGAATAATAGTTTATATAAACATATGTCCGAAAACGTTTCGTTTTCGAGATACAGGGTGTTACAAGTGAAGTCCTGATGGCACATTTTTGTAATTAATGTGTTCCAAAGTAAAAAAAAAATAAAATTTCTGATTTCACAGGCCTACTAATTATTGTTTATGCTTTCGAATAAAATAACATCAACTTATAAAATTTTTAAATGCTTTTCTCTTGAAAATAGTGCGTCCTAGCGAGATGCAACGAAAGTAGCTTTATTATAAAGAAAACATTAGTTTTCCAAATTTTTAGTCAAAAATGTTAAAAACAAAAAACTAATTTAACCACCTATGAAGATAATCAAAAACTAGAGTTTAATTCATTAAATAGAGCGTAAAAAGGTAAGAATGTGTACCAAATTTCACTTATTTATCTTTAAACGTTTAGAAAATATATACAAAAGAGTGTCATCAGGACTTCACTTTTAACACCCTGTATCTTGAAATAGGAACGTTTTCGGACCTATGTTTATATAAACTTTTACTCCTATTTTAGATTGTAGATTACGCTGTTAAAATATGACCGTCTAATTTCGGGACACCCTGTATATCCAAAATTACCATTTTTAGAAAAAAAAAAAAAAACTGTTTTAAAGAAAAACTATGGGTCATTCGGCCTAATTATGTATTGTGAAGGTATAAAAAATATGCAAAAAATGATATTTGAAAAAAATGACCTGCTGTTATACTGTTCTTTCACTTGCCCAGAAGCAGTAAAAGTTAATTTTTTAAATGGAAGTCTTGTTATAATATTGTTACTAAATGGTAAGTAGTGGGTTTTATCCACATTGAGTATTAGTAACTTACTGTCAAACCAACTTTCCTTGGGAGGTCCTGTTCAACTTTATGCTTTAGTCCTAACCATAAGTTAGCTTCATAAAATATTGAATTGTCGTCTGCGAATCCCAAAAATTCCCCTGAACTCTCGATAAAAAATAATCCATTATTATAAAGATTAAATAGAATAGGACCGAGTACCGTACCTTGTGGGATACCGTAAGTCAATGTTTTTCAATCTGTGGGTCGCGACCCCTAGGGTGGTCGCGAAGCCTTACTCGGGGGATCGCCAGCTGAAAGAAAAGTCAGGGTTCTTACACAACAAAAACACAATTTTAGTGAAGAGTATGTGTTTGTTTATTTTTCAAAAATTTATCAAATTGTGGTGATATTTTTAAAACGTTAATAATCAAATCATTTTCTAATTGCAGTCTATTTCTCGTTTTAGTTTTAATGTCTACCATTGAAGAAAATGTCAGTTCATACAAGTATGAAGTGGTGAATTGCACTAATAATTTAATAGCTTCCCTTGCCAACTCTGGATATTCGTGTTTTCTTTTTATCCAAAATACGTCGATACTTTGCGAATAAAATTCCATTTGCCATCAGCAGCTAAATCTAGAAGACAATCTTTAATTTTTGTGGTGACATAAGCCAGATCTATTGATTTATTCAAAAAAGGGTTTAAAATCCATCTTCGCCCATTGTCAGCTTCAGAGTGCAAGTCTGGAAAGTATGTCAAAAGTTTCTCTTGTAAATTATGCAAGCTCTGTATCATGCAAGGAATGTAAGCCGATACTGCAAAACTTTGGTCTGTTGCATTATCTTCAACAATCATCTAAACACATGGAAAAGACTCAAACATTTTGTTTTGCAGAGAAGTTGACCAAAAACGAAGTTTTGCGTAAAATGCTTTTACTTTATCTTTAGCTGTTAAAATATTTTCTTCTCTTGTATATATCGATTTTATTATTGCAATGATTTTTTTTCCTTATGGGTAATTCCAAAACCCTTAAGGAAAAACAAAATCATTGCAATAATAAAATCGATAATGCCAAACGTCCGCTATTTTTGCCAGTCATAGCTTTAGCGCCATTGCTAGAAATAGCGACACATTTTTTTCATCAATATCGTAGTCGCAAAGTGTGCTTTCTTAAAACATATCTTACAAACACTGGCCAGTATAGTGTTTGCAGGAAGTGCTTTGCAAAATAAGATTTCTTCCGTGATACTGTCATCTGTTTCAAAGAGCACAAATACTACAAACTGTGCACAGTCGAAAACATCTGTAGACTCGTTAAAGTGCAAAGCAAAATGTTGGCTGTTCTTTAATTTTTAGACTTCTTGTTCTTGAATATCCTTGGCCATGTCGTTTACTCTGCGTGAAATAGTATTATCAGAAAGTGGTATGTTTTTTAATTTGTTTGCCTCCTGCTTACTGACCATAATTTCAACCATATCAAGTGCTGCTGGCAAAATAAGATATTCGACAAATGTATGTGGTTTCCCTGCTTTAGCAACTCGATATGCGACTTTGTAGCTAGCTAATAATGTTGACTCGTTGACAGTGGATGCCTGAAAATAAACCAAATAATATAAAAGTGAATAATCAATAAAAATTAAGGACGCGGAACCTTTGCACATCTAAATTAACTACAATTAAAAGTTGTATGCAAACAACAAAGAAATAAACATCATAAAACATCAACAGTAAAAATAGCAACAATTAGAATAGATTCGCCTTAAGCTTATCGCTTAAGTGCATTGAGGGTCTTAACAACACTTCGAGGAGACTAAGAAAATATTATTTTATACTTACCTGAATTATAGTATTTTGCTGCTGACTAAAAGCTTTCAACTTTCGTTTAAAGAAATCCAATGGCTTATCAGCTTCTTTTTGATGCTTGGTTGTGAAATGCCGCATAAGCTTTGACGGTTTCATACTCTCACGTGATAAAATATTGCCGCAAATTATTACGCATTATTTATGACTGTGAACCCGTATTTCAAATAACTGTCATTGTAATGTCTTTTTTTTTTTTCGGGTTTGATTCACCACCACCGCTATTGAAACTCTTACCAGATGTTGAAGACGGCGATTTTTTGAGAAATTTATACATTTTACAAACGCGCGGAACAAAAGAAAAAAACAAAAGAATAACGTCCGTACTCATCGATAACTGCACATAACTGAGTGAGATGAGAGTTGAAACAAAAGAACATTGCGGGTGGCGCACTCGGGGCGCTTGCTATCGCCGCAACGACATCTGCGGTGTGGCAACGTCGCCGACGCAGTTTGGCCCGCATGAATAATAGATAAATGTACCAAAATTGGAAAAAATCATTACCTAACGTATAAAGTCTTTTAAATAAATTGTTTCTTTGGCTTTCTATGATACAAGGGGGTTTCCAGAATATTTCAACCTGTAAAGGGGTCGCGAAATTAAGTTATGGATCGTAGACCACTGTAGACAGCATTTAGTCTTGTAACTTGTTGTTGGTTTGTAATATAACTTTCAAATAATTTGAGTGATGTATCCCTTATACCAGCTTCTTTTAAGGTATCCAAAAGTAAACTATGGCTGACAGTATCAAATGCTTTCGAGAGGTCTAGATATACACAGAGACATAAACTGCTTTCATCAAGAGCAGTTAGTATTTTGCTAGATAGTGCTATAGTAGCATCTTCCGTGGAGACATATTTTTTAAAACCATATTGTATATCAGATATTATACCATATTTTGATGTAAAATTTACTAATCTGTTTTTAGAGCTTTTTCAAAAATCTTTGATAAATGTATTATTAATGAAATTGGTCTATAATTTGTTACCACTGTGTTATCTCCTTTTTTATATATGTGGACAAAAATTGTCTGTTTAAGTATATTAGGCCGTACACCAGTATCAAAAGTCAAGTTTATCAAATTATTTAATGGTGTTACAATAAATGTAGGTATATCTTTTATTATTTCGGCTTTAATATTGTCAATGCCAGGACTTTTATTAGATTTTAACTCGTTAATAGTAGTTTCAATTTCTCGTTCGTAAGTTGAAATAGAACAAAAGAATTGCAGAGAATATTACGGGGGGCTCGATATGTTGGATTTGGCTTAATATTTTCTGCCAATTCTTTTCCAACATTTATATAGGTTTTATTAAAATTATTTGCAATTTTTTTGAATGTATTTATTGTTTCCCCTTTCGAGTTTTTTATTGAATTTATATATTTTTTTGTTTCTTTATTGGAGTTAATTTCATTTATTACTTTTAAAAGTTGTTGGAGGAGGTTACAGGAATTGTTTGCAATACTTTTGTTAATTAGGCTTTTATAATAGTTATTTTTCACAGTTTTTATAGAATTATTTATTTTGTTTTTATATGTTTTATATTGTTGTTTAATTTCTGATTTATTCGAGTTTTTTAATATTTGTTGAAAAAGCGCATTCTTCTAATTTATCTTTTATAGCAGCTGGTATGTGATCCAGGGATAGATTTTATGTGTTCTTCTTTTTAATTTTATTTCTTTTGTGCTATATTTTACAAATTTAGATAATAAACTAATGACTGTATTTGTTGCAGAATCGACTTCCCTTAGTAGCCAATAGATCATCCCAAGGTACACTATTTAAAAGATTTTGAGTATTTTCTGATCAACGAATTTTTTATATCTTACCGTTTTATATTTTTTAGATTTTATTGTAGATTTAAAAATAAATTGTAAAGCCGTTATATAGTGATCTGTTATATCTGTTCGTATAACAAAGGGTATTATTTTATCAGTAATGTTGTAATAAGATGTAATAAAAATATGATCAATACAAGATTTTGTGTTTTCTGTAATCCTTGTTGGACTATTTTGTAAAATTCATTCGGATTAATTGAATATTAGAAGAAGTTCTCTTGCATATGTTCTCTAGATAGTTGAAAGGTGGTAGGTAGTTGTATTTGTGATTGGATAATATGTAAATACCTTCCTTATCATTTTGGTTGAAATTACCTTTATTGTATAAAATATTATGGCCTAATATATTATAGTCCGGAACGGCAACCTTAGGAAGCTGCAAATAAGCTATAAAATTAACTTGTTTATGCTAGTTTAGCTAATCAATAATTTTTGCTTCTGTTTACCAGCGCTCCTTTTTACAGTGATTATAATGTACATGTAACTATAATTTTGTATAGTTTTACAGTAATTTAATCTCGTATTATCTTTAAATTATTTATCGATTAGAAATGACTTGATATATAAAAACTGCATTTCCTAATAGCATCATTTATAATACCTATTATTAGAGCATTTTTTGTTAATAAAAATTATATATATCTAGTTAACTAATGATTCTAGTTGATTCCAATTTCACAATAATTATTCAAAAATCACAAGAAAGGCTATTACAATTTTTTACTCATCGTTTTCACTAGGGGTGGCAACCCCGAGAGGTACGAATGCCAGCGTTTTATGAATGCCGACACTAACAATAACACTAAATATATCGGAACAGAGTGGCCCACATTTGAAGAATTTGTTTCTGAAGTTTTGAAAGTTAGTTATAAAGTATTCCTTGTTAAATTAAAGGCGATCTCGAATTTTTAATAATATTAGCTTTAGACAATGAACCACTTACAATTAAAAGTACGTTTGAAATAAAAAGATGGACGATAGATTTTATCTTGATAACTTAAACGTTGATGCAGATGTAACAATAGGGGAGACTACGACAAGTAGGTACCTGAACCTATACTTACATGAACATCGTAATATTACAAGAAATGGTAAATATATTTTCAATATCCACGCGTTTCCATTCGTTTTTGGAAGATATAAGAAGGTAAATATTTTCAGATAATTTTCATAAAAGTGAACACAATTATAGAAAAAGTAACAAACTGTAAATACTTATTCCATAATTTGGGAAATATACTGACCAAAAATAAGAAAGTAGGAACAGTAGTAACAAATCATTCAAAATATATAATTCATTAAAAAAAAAACTAAAATACTGGGCCATAAAAAGATCCAAACTGGGTAATAGGAAACATTACCTAAATAAAAAATGCCATAATAAAAACTTTTTTGCCAAAAATATTCATTTCGTATATCATAAACAAAACGTTATAAGCAGAAATCTATAAACAGAAATTTATAAACAGAAATCTAAAAATTTATAAAAAAAATAAAAAGAAATGTATAAACAAAAATTAAGGAAAGGAAATTTAATAACTACATTATAAAGAAATTTATAAACATAAAATTATAAACAGAAATTTATAAACAGAATTTATAAGCAGAAATTTACTAAAAGCAATAAATAAAAAGAAATTTATAAACAGAAATTTATGAACAGAAATTTGTATACAGAAATTTAAAATTAATATTTTATGAACAGAAATTGGCAAACAGCAATTTATAAACGGAAATTTATAAACAAATTTAAAACCAGATATTTATAAATAAAAATTTATGAAAAGAAATTTATAAACAAAAATTTACAAACAGAAATTTAAAAAACAAAATTTATAAACAGAAATTTATAAACAGAAATTTGTATACAGAAATTTATAATTAATATTTTATGAACAGAAATTTTTAAACAGAAATTTATAAACAGAAATTGGCAAACAGCAATTTATAAACAGAAATTTATAAACAAATTTATAAACAAAAATTTATGAAAAGAAATTTATAAACAGAAATTTACAAACAGAAATTTATTAGAAGAAATTTATAAACAGAAATTCACAAAAAAATGTATAAACAGAAATTTACAAACACAAATTTATGAACAAATTTATATACAGAAAATTATAAACAAATGTGTATACAAAAATAAAAAAAAATATATAAACAAAAATGTACCAACAAATTTATAAACAAAAATTTATGAACAGAAATTTACAAAAAGATTTATGAACAGAAATTTATAAACGGCAATTTATAAACAGAAATTTCTGAACAGAAATTTATAAACAGAAATTTATAAACAGAAATTTATAAACAGAAATTTATAAACAGAAATTTATGAACAGAAATTTATAAACATCTTGGGCTAGCTAACCTTCTCCGCGCGATCAATTTTAATTTTGATTTTGATTTTGTTTTCGACTAATAATTGTAAACTGGATAGTATAAGTAATTTAAATTCTGAATCTTCATAGTATTTCCATCGAAGGTAATTTAGTTTCCAAAATTTATTGTTCTGTTTGATTTCATGTTAATTGTAAAAAGCTGCCTTATCTATTTTGTTGGTTTTTTTTTCTTCACTCCGTTCGAAGTAAAAACGAATTTTGAAGCCAGTTTAAAATAAATCGTCTTAATTTTGCTGTAGTTAGAAATATTTTCGAACCTGATATAAATTTTGTTCACGAAAATTTTATTATTTTAAGACACCTTAATATTTTTCAAATACGACTTTGATTTTGCTTGGCCTTGTAATAGGAAACCGAAGTCAATTACCGAAAATTATTTTTAATTTTGTTTTGATCGTGATTTAACACGTAAACTGCCTGACAGTTTGATTTTTACCTTCTTTTCGTTTTTCAGGCATATTGAGTACAGTCTGCGCTTGATTCGATTGAAACCCTTAGGAGTTCACAAAGACGTTTAGGCATCGCTCCCAGATACTGTTTCAATAAGATCTTATATATCGAATTAGGGTGAATCCGGATTAATTATATTTCGGTACTAGGTTATATGTCCATCATGTGTCTTTACTAGGGCCGTAACTCATCCGTTATAAATCTACCCCGTTTCGTGATTTAGCTAAAACTAACATCGTTGACTGGTTTGGCTATTATCTGAATTATATGTCGATTCGACTAGAACCCTTAGGAGTTCACGAAGGCTGTCCCACTTGTCAGCATTCTGACAGGTGGTGGGAATGCCTAATTCCGGAATAGAACCTGATGTAGAATCTGGCGAGATAAGATGTCGCTTTTGACAG